TGAGGTCTTTCATCGGCATACAAGGTTCCTTGGGTGAATTTGATATCTTTTATTAGACCAACCCAAGTGGTTGGAGAATAGTTATTAAGCAAGCTTTCGGGTTCAAAAACCCTTCGTCAGGCTAAGGAAGCTTCAGAGGTCTATCATCTGCTTTTAGGGATGTACACCATATTTATGACCTGGGTAGCATCAAGATATAACCTGCTCTCAAGGGCAGTGTTTTGCTAAACATTTCTGGGTTTCAGGATGAGTGAAATAGGGAGCCTATGAAACCTATCAGTGACTTTTAATTGTTTATGGTCCTTTCTGGAGTTATACAAGATGAAGCAATTTATAAGCATCTGAATTATTCTTTTTTCCCCTCTTCCCCATATGACGAGTCTTGTCAACTTCATGTTTTGAGAACTCCTGGCTGATGACAAAATTTGTAGCAAAAGATTGTTATCTTTTGTAAGATTGCTTTCATGCATGAAATGTGAAAAAAGTTTGGGCTTCTTTCCTGGTAGTTTAGATGCCTCTGTTTCTATGGTGCAAATGTAAATGTACTTGTATTGATTATATTAAATGATAGTATCCTAGTCAGTGTCGCTTTGAGCACTTTTAACACTTGACTGTGTCTCTGTTTAGTCATTTGTTGCTTAGCAGAGACAATTCCTGACTGCCAAAATATCCTGCTTAAGTAAACTTTCCTAGAGCTGGAGAGTCTCTGACAAGAGTCTGTTCCTGAATGTTTACTATATAATATGTTACTTTATTGAACACGCTAGTGAATTTTTAAATATAAACTGAACCTCTTGCTTCGTATCCTGTTTTCCAATTATGCAGTAACATAGCACATTAAGAAAAATTGTGTCGTTGGAGTAAGTGCTGTCCAGAGGCATTAGATGCCTAGTCTCTTTTCACAACTTTGAACCCTGGGGTCAAAGTTTATTTTAAGTTTCTGATGTAAAGACAGTAGGGCTAGGGACAGAAATTTCACATAAACCAGTAAAAGTGATCGGAACCTGATTCAAATCTGTAACACAACAGAAGTTCAGTGCACGTAAGCTGCTCTCACAGTGGCTGAAACTGGTTTAAAATAAACCAGGATGGTTTCATAGTTTCTAGGGTCGGAAGGGACCTGGGCAGATCATCTAGTCCGACCCCCTGCCATGGCAGGAAAGAGTACTGGGGGGCAAACGGCCCCAGCAAGATGGGCATCTAACTCCTCTTAAAAACCCCCACGGTGGGAGTGCACCACCTCACTTGGAAGCTGGTTCCAGACCCTAGCCGCCCTGACCGTGAAGTAGCGCCTCCTGATGTCCAACTTAAACCTTCCCTCCACCAGCTTGTGACCGTTATTCCTGGTCACTCCTGGTGGTGCCCGGGGGAACAGGGACTCCCCCAGTGCCTGTTGATCCCCCCTGACTAGTTTATAGCAGGCCACAAGATCCGCCCCCTCAGCCTTCTCTTCTGTAGTATAAGACTTAACTGATTTAGGTTAAATTGGTATATTCAACTTCTGTCCTAGATTCATGTTAACTCACAGTGTTGTGTGTGTGTGTGTGTGTGTGTGTGTGTGTGTGTGTGTCCCCAGCATCCAAAAACGCTTTGCACCTCCCCTGCAAACCTCTTGGGCTAAGCAACCCCTTCTGTATTTACTTTCCTTTATTGCCTTTAATGATGAGACTATCAGTCACAGTGTTTAATGCTCAAGATTAAAGCACTGGCCTGTGCACAAACTTCCACAGAAAAATCATGGGCCCCTATACATGTGCAAGGAGGCTGCTTTGACACGCGGTAATCGGAGCACGCTTGATGAATCGAGTCTGGAGGTTGGTAATTACTGCGCTCCAGCAGACCGCAGCGTCACCTGCATCATTGTCCCTGTGCTGCAAAATGGCAGCGGGGTGCTTTAAACTGAAGCTTATTCAATGCGCTTTAGTTCAAAACGCCCTACTGATATTTTTCAGTGCAGGGACACCAATGCATGTGATTCTCTGGGCGTTTTTAATTAGAGTACCCGCCGCTAATTAAAGCACCACCTCCCGTGGCTCCCAGAGCACATCTGTAAACACCCGTGGAGTATAAATTACCCATCTGACTCCAGTTAAATCAGCTTTGGTTTTTAGTTTTTTGGGTTTTTTTCCCTATTTGGATATAAGAGAATCCATGCACAGACTTAAATTCTTTTTAGGAAACCAGATTTAGTTAAATCAAGGCAAGTATGTATATAGGCCAGTCCTTACGTTTCAGCACCCTTTAGCAGTAATAAATTGCTAAGTGAGGGTGATTTGGCAGCTGTGTCCAACTACTTGGCTTTGGAAATGCTTGACACTAAATGATGCTACCTTTTAGTTATTAGCCTTTTCAGAAGAATTTATGTAAGGGATTATTTTACATGCGTATTTAGTTTTGTTCAGAAGTTTTTGGTTTGTGCACATATTGGTTCTCAGGAATTTACATGTAATGTATACCACTTTCTCCTTGTCAGATTTTAGATAGTGAACAGTTTGTATTTGTGTGTCTAGTTCACCAGAAAATTCCTGAGCAGCTTAGGTCCAAAAGACAAGCTAGAGTCACATCAGCAATTGTGTTAAATGCCATCAAATAGAACAGATATAGGCAAGGGGAAACACCCATACTTTGTGTGTTTATACAGCTGACAACTTGTGCTGCTTCATACTCGCTGACCTAGAAATAGCCAACATTTGAATATATGCCTGGAAGGGGGAAAAAGGTGTTGTAGAAGAGAACTGCCACATCAAAGCCTTTCCCCAGTTTGTAAACTGGTTTCTCTGCCACTACCCTCCTCAACCCCACTGTAGCACTCATCACTTCTTCCTGTCTGAAGAAAGCTTGGATTTTTATTGAGAGGGCTTTGGACATTTTTTTTCGTGGTAGTAGTAAAATGTGGTGCACACCATATGAAAAGACCCGTACGGTTTAAACAAGTTGGAGTCTACGGCAAATGTAACATGGGTTCTGTGCATCTGCACAGCATGACTTGTCATGCGATTCAGTTGTAAGTATTGCATTTGCATCCAGTGCTCTGTATTAAATGGGTATTACAGCGCGACTCCTAACTAGATACGAAGAACAGTTAAGAACTGCATTCCTGTCAGGTGGCTGGTATTTTTGTGGGTCACATTTGCAGCTGCATGCCCCTAACTCTGACTTGAGGATCAAAAAATGAACCAATTGACCCATGCTTGCATAGCAAGGGGTCCTCGGCTTGTGAGGAGTCATAGAGTACATGCAGTAGATACTCTTGCCAACTTTAGGAGATCCACATTTGTCTGTTACTTTTCCACTGAAAAATAAATCTTGAGATTGTATGTTTTCTAATTACTGTACGTTTGTTTTATGCCTAAGTAATTTGGAAAAACTATGTTTTGTCCCCTGGGAATCAGATTTGAATTTTTTATTTCAAAAGTAAATACCTTGTTTCCTGCTGACACGTATTTTTTGTATAATGAACTCTTACCTTGTCTTCAACTTACAGAACGTGAGTTTTAATTTTACACTGAAATGTTCTTCAGTTATGTTAAAATATATGTAAAATCCTGTTTGAAAAACGTGGGTTTAATTTGCAGGTTTCTTTTTTTTTTTTTTTTTTTTTTTTTGAAACATACTCCTTGTATGATGACATTAGGCCATTTTTATAAATGGATTATTTACTTGAACCATGTACACGTGCAAACGTACCAAATATGAAGTCTACAGATAATATTTATTGAAAGTATCTTGTTACTGAGTGAACACTAGAATGCTGCTTTGACGTGATGTGCTATGTTTAATGCTTGTGTCAGTTAAATAGAAATCTTTTTTAATGAGGGTATATGCAGACATAAAAACGGTACTGATACCAAAAGCTACTGGCATATTCTGTTATCCCATTAACTGTTATGCCTGCATGGTTTTGCAGCAATACCAGCATGACAAAACTGCTTCAACTTGAACTCTGTTTTATTCGGAGTGAGTTGGTGGAACAGTATAACCTCTGCTGCTGCAGGGTCTAGCAGACAAGTTATAGCAGAGCAGCTGATGTGCAGTCCTGAGCAGCAGCTCTTCCTCCTCTTTTTAAAACAGCTAAAACATACGTTTGTCCACACCTTTACATTTCCTGTGTCTGGAAGGGGATCAACAAAACATCTTGTCCGCTGCTGCCTCATTTGTTCTCCAGTGTGCCTGAAAGGGGAGAAGAATCTGACCTACAGGAGAATTGGATCAGCAGAGAAATAGATTGTGCCGTGTTGTGATACCCATTTTTTGGCTTATTCCCATAACTGAAATAAGCAATTGCCGCCTTTTTTTTTTATACAGCAGTGACAAAATGGTTAACTTTTTATAATACTTGTTCTTATTGTACTGCAGTTACAATGTACAGCTGTTATATCAGCTATAATTAGCACCATTTTACATAACTGGGAAGTTAGCTGTGATGAAATGATCTGCCCGTAGGCTTGTAGTTTTATATTTTAAGGTGTTTGGAATAGATTTTTATACTTCTAAGAGATGCATTAGCCTGTAACCAGAAATTTAGCTACATGGATTGCACTGTTGCTCATGAGCAGTAGAACTGTGGTATAGGGTTGCATAGAGTAATATAGAAAAGTTTTACTTGGACACTCATGCTTCAGGTTGTATAAGTTCACTATTGGCTACACTATTGTAGTAAGATTTGAAGGCTATATGTTAGTGTTGCTCACCTTCTACTTAAAGATCCAAAATCATTTCATTAAATATTTCCCCAAATGCAATTTCCTCTTAAGAACTAGTCATAGTTTTTCATCTGTACATCAGCTTATATTCTAGCATATTTCTTGCATCTACTTTTTACAAAAGCCAAGATGGTCAAGCTTCATCTGACTAGCAGACACATGCTTTTTAATAGTTCAGACCTGGAGATGATAGGAAGAGGGGTAACTTATAGCCTGGTTGTAATATATTTAAAAATATGAAGTTAAAAGTCAAAATGAATACTACATCTAAACTTCTGCTTCTGTGATCTCTTTCAGCACAAGTCCTCCTTATTGCTGTGTGGACCTTTACTCTTTGCGAACGGGAGAGATGGTCAAATCCATACAGTTCAAAACTCCTATTTATGATCTGCATTGTAACAAAAGGTAAGAAGTTTCCCAGCTCTCTCTCTCTCTCTCTCTCTCTCTCTTTCCTGTCTGCTTAAAAAAAAAAAATCTGGGGGCCACAGCTATAATAACATGTATGTTTAAAATTGTACTCATTGACTGGTTTCATGACATTTTAAAATCCTAAAAACACCTCAGTTCCACCATAGCTAGAACTTAAATTTTGCCTGGCAATGAATATTTCGGCCTAAAATATGACAGATCTACTTAAACAATTGCTTTCACCTGAAAATATCAGTGCACCTTTCATATATGAATCAATTAAGGTTCAAAATACTTCAAGAGGCCTTATCTTCCTCTTTTAACATGGGGAAACTGAGGCATGGAGCTATTCAGTGAATAAACTACATTAGCAAATCAAGTCATTGTCTGATTTGCCATCTGATCCCATGATCCTGTGGAATGATAAATTCAAATCTTGTCCAGGGTAATTCCATTAATTCAACCGTATAACTTTTGAGATGGATTACTATGTTTGCTTTGTCTTTTGGCTGAAACAAACAACCCAACAGTTTCTCTGTTTTATGAGTTTGCTGCAGTGCTTTTTGACCCAAATTTCCTGTCCTCAGCTCCGAGGACTGTACTTCCAACGTGAATATTCTCCTCCACTTTAATGATGATTATTACTCTTATACTGCACTCTGTGTCTCTATTTCAGAGTAACTGCTGAAAGAGAGAGGATCACATTTCCATGTTCAAGATGGAGAAAATTTAAGTGTAGAGAAATTGCTGCCTTTCACTGATTTAGGATTATATATACTTTTGTGACGCACTTTGGGATCCTTCGAAGTGGAAGGAGCTGTAGAAAGAAACAGTCGAGCAAGTCGCAGCAGTCTAAGTTAAATATATTTTGGGTGTTTTGTATGGGAATAGATGACCTGAAAGGGACATGAAAAGGAGAGGAGCCAACTACCCCACCAAGAACATTGAGTCTGAAGGCACAAGGTGACGAAAGAATTATTAAAGGAAAATGGCGGAGTATCTGGGATCCACTACAGCTATGCCCTCCCCCCTCCCCAAGATATTGGTGTCTAAATAGACCTGGAAGAAATAGTAGAAGGAAACATTAGAATATAGAGCAAGTGAACATTTGAGTAGTTACATAATCTGATGGCTTAAAAGGAAAAGGTGCGGGGAGAGGCAAGTATATTTTGATTTTATAACGGACAGGTGCCCAGAGAGGGTTACAGTTTGTTATCCACAGCCAGTTTCCATGTCGGTGGAACAGTGTGTGCCCATATCAATAACAGCTGAATTTCAGAGAATGTAATGAAAAGAAGGGGAAAAATAGGTCACTGTTTCTTTAACAGTCTGTCAGAAGGAGTTCAGTACTTATCTTTGCAACTGTCTCTTTAAAAATTTAAAGTTCCCTTGTGTACACTGTGGTGATAGTAAATCTTTCCAGGCAGGCCTTTTTTAGCAGAAGAAAAATCCAATTGTAAAAACAGTCAAAAGGCAAATCATTCAAAGCCTCTTCCAACCAAAAAGTCTCTCCAGGTGCTAATGTTTCTTTTTCTACGTGGTGAAATTGGAAGAGCTTCTTCAGAATTGTGTGGCTGTATCCAGGGTATCTGTTTTACTGGAATGTATGAGGCTCTGCTATCATCCAAGGAAAGTTCGCTATTTCAGATTGAAAATACATTAAAAATGGCCAAGTTGAGTGCTAATGAAATATTAGCCATGCAGCTGACTAATGCAGCCCAAAACTTCAGTTGCAGAAGAACAGATGAGTATTTGTTTATAGATATCAAGGTAATCTATACCTTGTATGTATGTGTACACCCATAGATACGTAGACATTTAAAAAATATCCACTGCCTGTTAGGCACCATCCACACAGAAAGATTATAGAGCGTGTTCAAAATAAAAAACCAATATGCACATGGTTTTGTACAGACATTTATATTTGCCTCTGAAGTCTGTATATTAACCTTTACAGTTTGCAACTTCCTTTTGTTTTCCTCTCCTATGACTTCAGTTGGAATAGGTTTTGTTTAACTCAATCTCATAGTCTTGTTTGTATTAGGTATTCATTTCCATCCCAAAGCGGACTGCTATTATATTATCAATTTGTAAATTGGGAGAGGAAAAAAAGGGTTTTTTTTTTTGTTGTGTTTTGTTTTGTTTTTTACTAAAACAGCACTGCTTATTCCTTAAGTGATCATTTCCTTTTGTGATACCCCCGGTGTAGATTCCCAGTGTTGGGTTTCATGTCCTGCCTTATGGCAATAGACTGGCTTCAAAGCGGGTCACCACTGTGGAAATGCAGACTGTAAATCTAAGCATGTGAAAGCCCCCACCCCAAGCACTCCCTCAGTTGCTTTCTTTCCATCATCCCGATCAGGTGCAGAGCCCAGTCTTCCCCTTTATTTTTGGGTCCAGTCAAGGAAGCTATTTTTAATGCCTCTGACACAATGCGACTATGGAGTCTTATTCAGAGAGGAAAGGATCTTAGTCATTTGCTGTGAAGAGATTCTTTGGGGTCTTTGCTGACTTAACTTCTCCAGTGGCTAGGGTTAGACTTATGCGCAGGTTTCACGTGCGGCAGGGTGGGAGGTTTTTGGATCCTTTGCATATGAACAGAGCAGCCAGGTCCTCTGAAAGTTTTTTTTTTTTGAGGCAATCCTCTCTGGTTTTAGAAAAGGAAATATAGGAACAACCAGGCAGTCAGTAAGTAATATACACTAGTTCTTTGGACCTAACAGATTCATTTGAAAGTGGTTTTCCTCATGCTTTAGCACGGAGAACCAAGTGGCATCACAGTGGTCCAGAGGTGACGGAGTCTAATGGGATCCAGACTCCTTAAGGTCTTTTGGTGGATCATAAAAATCTGAGGTCAGGTCTAATGTATTTTTTTGTAAGAATCGTAGCAAATTAGGGTTGGAAGGGACCTCGGGAGAGAGACCATTGCTCCTTGTTCTGTTATCTGCCACTGAGAGCAGTTTGCTCCATCCTCTTTGAAAACATCCTCTTGGAAGGAAGGCTCGTGAATCCAAAATAAAGCATACCCAACAGGAGGAAGGCTGTGGAAAGCTCTTTGAATAGAAGCCATAGCAATGATGCACTTTGATTGGGGTTTGTTTTTTTTTAAATACTAACTCTTCCTACTTCTGACATACCTACTCTTGGATCCAATGGACAATCAGTCTATAAAACAGTTTTTAGAGATTGAGACATGGACCGTCCAGGAATTCCTTCCACTCAAAATTGAGCGGAGTGGTCTCTCATTACTGTTCAGCTGTTTTTCCAAAGCTTTATGATCTCCTAGTTCAGCTTTGTTGCATGTTTGAGAACAGATGAGTTATATTCTTCATGGGACAAAAATTTCAAAATGAAACTTGTTAGAACAAAAGTTAATTTCATATGTATGTAGCGATGCCCTTCATCGGTTAAATACTAACCACTCTTTTTTCTAATAAGGAATAACCAGTTTTAAATGAGCCGTTGCTCCATTTGAGGAAAGGTTGCATTGCAGTTAATGATGGGCAGGAAAGCTAATCAACTGGGGCTGGCAGAGCCCCATGAGCTAATTTGTTTCTTTGAAAAGGGTTTTAGAAGCCCTTTGTATTTAAATGGCCTAAACTTAGTTCTGAAGCTTTTAAAATCTTACACCTTTTATAACGTCTATTGATTTATAGACTATACAGTATGCTATGTGGCTTTCGTTTTGTGGTTTTGTTTCAAGTAATCATTTGATACTCTGCTTTGGAAGCGCGCGTGTGTGTGTTTACACACGCAGAGAATGACAAAGTGTATATGTTTCCATCTCTGTATACACAGGCACCCACATACCAAGTATTACCCTTTGTTTTAGAGGTTCAAAAGCATAGGACAGCTTTCATTTTTGCCAGTGCAGATGCTTTCTATTTGTGGTGGCATCTGCATTATAAAGGCCTGCGATGGTCCAAGGTCACCAAACAATAGCTGTCCCCTTTGACTTTTTTTTTTGTCCTTGCATTTAGTATGCTAGTAATCATTTTAAGTGATTTATTACGTAAACCCTATTTCTCTCATTTTTAATTCCATGGTGCTGTGTTTTCACATAGGGAAAAACACTTTTAGTAAATAAGAAACCAGTGATAGTTTGTCAGATTTGCAATAAAATAGGCAATGGGATTATGTCTAGGATAAAACACACTTCCTTTTAGATTAGTCTGTGCTGGTTTGTGGGATTTTGTTGTGATTTGAAACACAGAGGACAATTCCATTTTCTTTCTTTTCTAATGGACCTTTTATTACAGGAGGTATCTTACATATGCTGGGTGACTCCGTATCACATTTGTATACTTCCTGAAGAGCAGGCTTGTGTGGTGGGGATGAGAGAGGCCTTTAATAATTGCCAGTTATTGGAAAACTGGCAGTTTATTACTCAGAAATGTAAACTGATGCTCTTGAAACAGTTACGTTTAGATATTGAATCTGAAACCAATACATTTCATGTTTCAAATATGCATTTAATTTTTGTGTTTTCAGGATACTTGTCGTAGTCTTGCAAGAGAAAATTGCTGCTTTCGACAGCTGTACGTTCACAAAAAAATTCTTCGTCACGAGTACGTATATTCCCGACTTCAGTTTTTCTGCTCTAGCGATTAGTGGTAGTCCCATAAAAAACAGATTTCAGGTGGTCAATAGAATTGGATTGCAAGTCACATATGAAATTGTAAGGAATATTAGCTTTGACAGGTCTA